TTGGGAATTCAATTGTGATCTCAATAGAAATTTTTCAGTAGGGTAGATACCAGAAATGTAAAGCATCGTCTACAATATGCGGAGTAAGCTTGGAGTAAGAAGTAAGCCGTAAGAATTGGTCAATTGTAGTCGATTATTATAAAAATAATCATCTATGATTGGTTAATTCTTACGGCTTACTTCTTATTCCAAGCTTACTCCGCATATTGTAGACGACGCTTTAAAGCTATTCTTACAGCTATTATAGACGAGCCTTAAGAAGAATCGATTACTGTGATTGGTCAATTTGCTTACCGCTTATGTTTTACTGCTTAAGTTTTTCTATGTGCCACCAGAGGCGCCACACACAAATTGACATAACAGTAACGGAAAGGCTCGTCTACAATAGCTGTAAGAATATGGCTATAAGGCTGTAACGTGAGCTGTCAGCGAATAAAAATAATTCATTTCGCGTCTTATAGCCTTACAGCCATATTCTTATAGAAATTGTAGACGAGCCATGAGACATACAATAAGATTTGACCAATCACTTTGAGTATCGTTGAACCGTAAGGTCGCTATTTTTGTGAATACTGGATTGTAATTGGTTTATTTTTACGGTACGTCTTATGTCACTGTTATGTCAATTCGTGTGCGGTGCCCCTTAAGGCCATTCTACAATAGCTGTAAGAATATGGCTGTAAGGCTGTAACGTGAGCTGTCAGCGAATGAAAATAATTTATTTCGAGTCTTACAGCCTTACAGCCATATTCTTACAGCTATTGTAGAATAGCCTTTAGGTGCGGATCCAATAGTCCGTAAACATATCCGTATCCATAACTTATAGCGAATTCGGTTGCTTGCACTAGTGTGCACTGAGTGCGCACTAAGGCTTGTTCATAGTATGTTATTATATTTAAAAATTGTCTTAAATAATTCTCAAATAAATTCTCAAATATTTTTAACCATAATATGATATGTATAACATCCGTACGAATCATTTTATTAGTTAAAATGTTTTTAAATATGTATTTAAGACACGATCTTAAATATAAGAATGTACTGTAAACAAGCCTTAATGCGCACTCAGTGCGCACTAGTGCAAGCTACCGAATTCGCTATTAGAAAACCTCAAGTAAAGAGAATCGCCAACTTGGTCACGTGACCAGCTGATTGGCTGGCATAAATATATACGGATTTAAACATTGCGACGTCAATGCAGACAAAGCTTTATATATATATATATATATATATATATATATATATATATATATATAT